GATGCTTCGCTCATCTGGACAGCAAATAGGCTTTCCTAGCAGCCTCTGCCTTAGCAATATAGTGGTTAGACGCGACCTTGGCAGCTTTTAAGTTATTTTTCGTCAGTTTCTGTCTCCAAACACTCTCTAGCCTTCTCTTATTCCACTTCATAGCTGGTTAAACCAAGGTGCTGGCCGGGCTCTGCGACGGAAAGGATGTTTAGGAGCAATCGTGTCTATAGCCCTTGGTGGCGGCAGCATACCAGCCACCCACCAGGGCCTTGACAGGAGCGCCAGCCAGGTCAATCGAAATCCCACGCATGGCATCCTAGAATCTGATAGGATCCAGTAGTCTGGGAGGGCAGACCATGAAAATAGGTCTCTGCTCCCCATGGGGAGAGAGGGCCATTGTGAGATTGCACTTTATCAGGTGATGGTCCGACCACGACAAGGGGACCAACCGAAGGTCAGTCACCATTGAGCCACTCTCTCTGCTCAGTGGAGAAAACCAGGTCCAAAGAGTGGCCACCCATGTGTGTGGGGCCGTTAATGTGTTGGGACATGTCCAAGGAAGCCATGGTTTCCATGAACTCAAGAGCCGGACCAGTAACCTCTGCCTTCGCATGGATGTTGAAATCGCCCAAGACAATCAGTCTCGAGGATCCCAACAGAGCCATGGAGATGAAGTCAGTAGGGAGGTGGCTGGGTCGCGGGGAGCACGGTATACCAGCAAGATCCCAATACCATCTGTTACTTCTACCTGGTTCCTTCTCTTTAATTCTTATTAACAGTGCTAGCTTGGTATAGTTTAACAGAGTTCACTTTCCTACAGACCAATACAGAGTGAAAACTAAATTAAATATTCTTACATATATATAAAAGTGAAAAGCCAGGTTGCCATGAAAAATGTTGGAATTGTTCAGGTAATTTCAGACTTGGCACAGAAGCGAGCCATTAAGAGCAGAACCTGTTATAGAAAAGCACAAGTGTTCCAATTCAAAATAAACCATCAGAATTGTTGCCCATCTGTCCATGGATTGTTGCAGGCCCTGATTAGCACTAACTCAAGGGACTTGGACTTAGTCCCCCAGGTTTAGGTACAAGATGATGGAAACTGTCATTTTTTAAAAAAAATTGTCATGATTTTATGTTACATTCAAAAATGGTAAATTGTTTACTTATTTATGTGTATATATTAATTTATTCATCTGCCACCTTATTCCCCATAGGGGAATCAAGATGGCTCACAACAACACAAAAAACACAGTTAAAAACACCATAAAACCAAAGTCTACTACATAATTAAACTGTATTAACAGCATTAAACACCATAATTGATAACTAAAAAATAAATGGTATTAAAACCCACAATTACAAATAGTTTTAAAATCATATTTTAAATCTCTGAATTCAGTAAATGCTGCATTCCTAACATCCTCAGCTGTCACTTAAAAGCCTGCCCAAAATGGAAAGCCTTCGCTGAATGATGGCAGGACAGGAAGGTGGGAGTCAACCCACTGTCTTGGGGAAGTACGTTTCATAACTTGGGAGCAGCCACTGAACTGGCTTTCCTTCACACCTTTAAACACAATACTTTAAATTAGTTTACACTGCAGTTTATTGAAGCAATCTAAGGGTCCAGTTGTGGTTTATGACCCTAGCTTGTTTCAACAAATGGCAGACTGAGTTTCTAGTTGGACAGAGTAACAAAGGATGGTAACTTTTAAACACGGACGTGGAAGCTTCCAACATCGTCCTTTCATCTATTATGGAAGGGAAAGGAGGCAGAAACACGCCAGCCGGAAGCTGGCTGCTGCTTGCTCGCAAGATGAAGTTGAAAATAAAAAAATAAGAACAAAAGAAGCCCTGGTGATTTGCAGTGCCAAAATAAATCTGATTAGGTGAAACACACAAATATCAAAAGCCTGGTATTTGGAATTAACAGCATAATAACCAGATCATATCTTCCTGCTTGTATGTGTACATTATTTAGAATGAAAAAAAGTGAAATCATGAAAGGACACAAGTGTCACACACTAAATGTGGCAGAATACACTCTTACAAAAGAAGCTTAACAAAGCTGCAGCTCCAGAAGGAAAAGAGGAATCTTACAATGAGACAGATAAAAGCTGTGACTGAACTCTTTAAGAAATGGCATATTTTGTGCAGTAGCTTTTATATTTACCGTAACTCCTCCCTGTTACCGTTCGTTCCCTTTAAAAATGAAATTATTAGCTTGTGTTTGGACATTGTTCATCATCCAAAGAAAAAGAAATTAACTTACCTATTATTAACCTGCAAGTGAATTTCACTACTGCCACTGAGAACCCCTTCTATACGACATCCTGTTTTTTCTGGAGGGGCAGATGATTTCTCATCAGAATTTACAATGTAGTCCCGTCTCATAAAATTCCCAAGGAAAACACTTGTTGGATGTTAGTAACCTCAGTCACCTTACTGCTCTGACTAATCTTAGGCACATCCTTTCCTCTGTAATCCGCAGAAACGTAACCTTTGCATAGCTTATTACCGAGGAGGGAATAAAGCTTCTTAACCGTTTTCTTTCACAAAGATCTCCTCTGTGCTGGTGGCGAATTATTTGAATTCCCTGTATCTTCTTCATTTGGAATGTTGTCTCTGGTCCTTGTGGACCATTTGATGATATTTACAAATAGGTTGTATGGCAATAAATTTCAAAATGTAAACCATCTAGTAGCAGTCTGTAAGAGATACAGCCATTTACATCAATGGAAGACATTTAAACTGAGACATTTTCAGAGTAAGACAATTCAATCCACCAAATCTAATCTTCCCATGCTTCAGCCAGGTTGTTGACAGAAATCTATGCTGTTTAATTATTGGATTCTCACACCCTAATAATTACATCAGAGTAAAATGAACTGGAAATAATCTGCTTAAACATTTGTTTTCAGCAGTTAATGAATAAAACACAATTAGATATAGGGTTCCAGAGAGGTACAAATCTAAAACAATATATTGCACTTGTTAAACTTTCAAGATATTACCAAGCAGCATTGTTCAAATCTTCTAATTTATTTGCTCCAAAACCACTGAAAAAAGAGATTTTTTTGTTTGATCTTAATTATACTTTTTCAGACATAAGCCCCACTGAGTTAAACAGAACTTACTCCTTAAATTGGAACCCTTAAAACTACTAACACAATTTTTCTGAAGAATTATTCTTCGAAACAAATAATACTCAAAAGGCCATGCCAAAATAATAATAAAAAGCAAAGTAAATTCTGTGTAGTACTGATGAGATGCACATATGTTAATGTAAAATTCTCAATTACCTTGGTATAAATCCAGTGTTGTATTACGCCTAACTACCCCAGATATTCAGCCCCTCAGCCCCATGTGCTGCCTGAAAATCAACTCCAGTTTCTTCAGCTCTAAGAGCAGTGGAGACAGGGGGCAGGGAGGGTTTCCTGTCCCAGTTCTCCTCTAAAAAGCAGTTCTGTCAGCCCAGTCTCCCAACTGGACACTGGTCTCTGTTAAATATTATCTTATGAAATGTATTGTCCATGTGTAATCCTCTTTCTGTAATGAGCTTCTGTTTATCACTGCTACTCATCACAAAGAACTGAAATCACCATTGTAGCCATCTCTTCAAAACGTTCCACAAGCGTTTAAGATTAGACTGCTGGGGTGACAAATAGATATGTCACCTCATTTGGATCTTCTGTTTACAGATATTTTTCTCCTGTTCATCTGTGACACCCAAACTGATAATGTTAAGGTATTTTTAAAAAGAGGATGGTTTCGGGTCACTCTGGCAGTCGTTCCATTGATTTAATAGCCACTCTGGCCCTAGGGGAAGGATATTGACCCAGCATCTATTAAATATCAAACATACACATCCCATCCCTGGTGTCTCTTGAAGCCTGATCAAGTCAGTGGCATCAGACTTTTGCGTCAAGAACAAACAGGCACGTGACCAAAATGGGCGAGTCTTATTTGGCATAAGCGGTCATAGACTGCAACACTGTTCTTCAGAGGTGGGAAGGTTTGTAAGCATCTTCAGGTGAACGTGCTCAGAACCCTCCTCCCTGTATAGGCTCATGATCAGTTGGCCAAGTGGGCCTAAGGGGAAATGTTGGAGGTGGGGCTTGAATACATGCCTTCCGCCATTCATTTCTCATGTGTTCGGGCTGCACATTTGTTGTTTATAATGTTCATACGATTGACAAATAAATTAATTCTCATGTGTTCGGGCTGCGCATTTGTTGTTTATAATGTTCGTACGATTGACATCATCATCATCATCATCATCATCATCATCATCATCATCATCATCATCATCATGTGCTGCCAAAGCAGTTTTGACATTGTGACCCTTTCTAGGGTTTACTAGGCAGAGAAAACTCAGAGGCAGTTTGCCATTCGCTGCTCCTGGGGTGCTCTGGGCCTGTGCAGCTTGCCCAAGGCTATGTAGGTTAGTTCTACTCCCATGAGGCACAGTGGAGAGAAAAAAACTCACCACTTCTGGCTCCACAGCCAGATACTAAACTCACTGAGCTATCCAGCCAGCATAGAGTTAATCTAGCACCTTCCCAAATTATTGCCCTTATCCTTTTTATTATGATTAGAGCATACTATAGAGAACAGTGTGAAAACACTACCGGTTTGTAAAGCAGGCTCCTCCCACGGATTACAAAGAAGATTGTATTTTTGTATTACTGATGACAATCTCCTGTGCCTGCAGCTTCTGCAGCCTGTAGGGTTCCCAAGACATTATAAATCTCTTGTTGCCTCTTATCCTACTCCCTTTCTTGAGCCGGCAAAGTATTTTAAGTCAATCAATTTTATCTTCTGAATGTAAGGTTGTTTGGTAAGGAGAATAAAACTGAACGAAAGCTTAATTTATAATGCTTACAAGCAACACTGATTATAGAAGAATTAATGATTGTGCTCTTTGCAGAAGAACCACCTTAAAGCAATTGCAGATGTGTAACAATGTGGGATTTGTGTTGACTGTCACAAAAGAAATCACCACAGAAGTAATAATACTCTTTATTATGAAAACAGCTTAATTTAAAGTAACCGCTCCCACCCTTTTTTTTTTTTAAATAAAGGAGCTACACACAAGCCATGATTCAAATTTCCACAAATTATTTGCATGGGTTGTACTAACACAAGTTAATTTTTACATCTGCCACTCATCGATGACAACATGGTAAAGAACAGCACCAGTTTCATCCAAGACATCAGCTAACATTATTTATATAAGTCAAGGAGAAAGTCACAAGAACAATGATGTGAATGGTTTGTTTGTTCGTGTGTGTGTTTTAAACAGTAGTTCAACAAAAATAGCATTTAAAAAATTCCTTTAGGCAACCAGGTACAGTGGCTTAGCACACTAAACCTATATTGCAATCTTGAGCAAACCCATGTGTACTCAGATCGTATTTGTACCCTTCTCTAACCTGGGATTTATTTGCACAAGAAAACTGTCCCATTTATTGTATATTTTGTTCATCTCGAGTCTTGCATTACCAAGGCTCAGAAACTGGAAAATTGTGAGTTCTTGTAAACATTAACTATCAAATTCAGTGCTGAGGTTCACAATGACCAGTGTTCCTTGATGTTAAAGCATAAGCCAAACCAGAAAAAAACAGTTGTCAACTCCTCTATTCTCACCACTCCCCATTAGTAAATTCTCACTTAACCGTTCAGATGGTTTCTACATCAACATTTGTGGCTCCTGTTGAATCCGTATTTACAGAAAGGATCACTCAAACCCTTTCGAGCAAGAGGTGCCACAGATTACTCATGTCAACTTTTTCCTGGTGATTTAGTCAGATTTAGAAAGCCACAATGTGTTTCTGAGTTCATCTCCATCCTTCATGAAACATGAAGCTGACAGCCTGTTCAACTTAAAAGGATGATGCTTCTTTGAATGAATTCAATGTGGGTGGGACTCTGAACAGAATTCTTCCTTGCCAGCTGTCCAGCGAAGTACCTTCTGCGGCCTCTGTTTTTTTCTGATTATCTCAGGGCTTTGCTTTTCCTGTCTTTCAGAGTGGTTGAGGAATGACAACCACACCATGATTATTTTTTTCTTCATTTTAGGCAACTGCTGAGAAGGAGAAAAACTCCGTTCAAAATATTCCTCCATATTCAGGCAAATGGTTTAGCTCAGTTTTTCATGTTGAATTTGGTAATAACATGCCTGAAGACAAAGTGGGGAAAAAAGAGAGAGAGAGAGAAAGAAAAAGCAGATTTAGCTTAAAGCAGAGTTTGCTGCAGTTTGGATACACATTCAATTAGTTGAATTTAGGTTTCACTAAATTTAATGAACATGAATTTAATGAAACATCACTGTTAATCTGAGTGTAACCCTGAAAAATTAGACTGTAAATTCTATTCTCTCTTCAAAAATGGTTAGCATTTGTGCAAAAAATTCCTGCAAGGTGGTTTTTTGATAAACTTCCTTTGATGACTGGCACCACGTAAAAGCTACTTAAATAGAACTGATCAAGCCTCATCCATCTTACATAATCATGGGTTCTTTTTTATCTGTTTATTTCATTTATATTCTGTGGGATTCAAGGTAGTTTAAAATAAAATTTAAAAATGGGATTTTAAAAAGTTATACCACTGCAGTAGTTGATGTAGGAAATCACAACAGGTTATAAAATTAAAACACAATTCAGTCAAACATAATTAAAAATATATATAAACATACGTACTAATATATTTTCCTGCTTTCAGTACCAGCAATCGATGTTTATGTGAGAGAAGTCGCATTAGTTGTGGCAGCAAACTGCAGCCCATTAACAAGGTACTGGTTGCATTTCTGGACATGTGTCCACGAACACCACCAGCACCTTGTTAGTGGCTGTAATTTGCCATCATGACTTACATTAATGTCCCTTATGCTAGCATAAATCCCCAGCAGGATTCTTGCCAATAAATATTACACGGCCATTTAAGTTAAAAGGTACAGTTATTTAAAGCTTACCTTCAGGGTAGTAAACATAATGCCTTGCTCTCCATGCTGCAAAAAAGGATCCATCAGATCCTCAATCAAGTGCACTTCAGATCCCAAGTTCCTTATTCTGTAATAAAAGAAAATGTTTACTTAATGCAGCGAATTATTTCACAGGACCTGAAGAAACAAATCAGGTGGGTGGGGTGGGTGACATTTTTTTCCATACTCTTCATCAATAGGCACTCAATATACTGTTATGGAACTGACCTGGGATAGGGAATGTTTGGTTCTCTGGCTGAGGCTGGAATGCATCCCCCATCATCCCTCACCTTTGGCTCTGCAAGCTGGGATGATGGAGCTGTTGTCTGGCAACAACTGGATGGCTGTACATTTCCCAGCCCTGTAACCAAGACTCTTTTAGCTTTCTTGCTTTCATGCTTAAGTTTCAATACTGGTAAAGCATTGAATGCACCTGCTACCAGTCACAGATTCCTTTCTTCTTTAACATCCTGAATCTATCGCTTCATTTCAGACAGATTTTAAGAGGTGGCAAATCCTCTGCTGGTGGTTTGGTGTACAGAGATAGCATCATCCCAAGACGTAAATGACCAAAGAGCCACCATGATATTATTAAATATCTGAGGTCTAGCTTTATATCTGCAGTGACAACTTCTCTCACTGTGCTTGTTATTGGGCCCAGGCTGTTCCAGTATTTCAGCCCTGTAGGCATTTTCACCTGCTCAGTTTTTAGAGTAATACACAATTACATCCCTTCTGGTTACACTGGGGGATGTGGGGAGGGATGGGGCAGACCCTCAAATCCTCAATCCCTGAAGAAAATCAGTTTTATAAGGCTTGCGAACCCCCAGAAGAGGCTTGGGGAGGGGAATGAACAAATTACATTTCAATGGCAAACACACACTTCAAGGCACAGTTTGTCATGGGGAGGGAGGATATTTTCCTACGGTGGGATGATTGGAGGGGTATGGTTATCAAGGGCAGAACAAAAGTAGCCCAAGGACACTCAGAGTTGGCCATCTCTGGTTTACGGAGTCTACACGTCATACACTGAGGTCCAGCATCTACTACAGGGGTACCACCAGTGCGGTATACGCTGTGTTTTTCTCTTGGGAAAAGCCTCTCTTTCTCCTAAACAGGACAAAATTCATCCCCCTGAAGCATCAGTGCTTCTGGATATTATGCATGGTTATTACTGATGTATGGCACAAGGTCCCTCCCACAAAAAAAACCCTTCCAATGGGCTCATTCTTCTGTGAATCTGCATCCCTCTGGTGGATGGGTACTGCCCTGTTGTGTGATCCCCAGTGTGGAAGCACAACAGGTAGGTTTCTTCCCCTTTACTAGAGCACAGGTTAAAACACCACAAAAAAGGAGAAATGCTGTCCTATTATTCCCCACCCGGAAGGCGAGCACTAGACAAATACTACTGACACTAGATCAGAACCAACGGTATGATATTCCATTTCTGTGTAATGAATAGAAAGCACTTGGGACACGTCATGAAACCAAATAGACTTCAAGCTCTCTTTAGTTGATGGATCTTTAATTATAGGATATGTTTAATTTATTTTTTTCAATTTTGAAGTTTGCTCGCCTGGCTCGAAGCACCACATATAGAAAGACAGGAAATAGGTCATCCATGGACCAAAGGAAATCTTCATGAAGATTTTCAAGTACATTCTGGGAGATCTCTTCAAAGGTCTGCTGGATCACCTTCAGTTTGTCAGCAGGTGTGAATGTTGTACTATTGGAAAGAGTATTAAAAGAAGAAAATAAAATAAAATAAAGGAATTGTACTGCCTTCCCTTTCTAAAGACTGAATCAAAACTCTCCTTTGATAATTTGGGACACATGAGAGAATAAAACACACACCACACCAAATTAATGCTAAGAACAGATATGGACATTGAGAACTGAGAAATCATTAAAAAAAAGGAGACCTTTCAAAATATTTCATTACTTTAGACTATATATATATTCAAAGCTCTCAAAACTATTGCAAGATCACTTCCATTTTATATATATGAACATTCTTCATGCTAGGCCAGGTCAGCACTCTCATAACATGTCACAATAATGATTTGGAGCTACAGATTTCATAACATGATGTCACAATAATGATTTGGAGCTACAGATTTCCAATGCAGTGGTTCCAGAATGCTTTGCTTAAGTTTGCAGCATGTGCATAGGTAATTCTAACTCACAGGTCTTTCCAAAGCAATACTCTTCCAGGACAGAAGGGTTATTGTCCAAAGGAAAACTGGCTCTCTCTTCCAAGCCTGCCAAATGTTATAAGGTTAGTTCTTTCATTAATTTTTAGTAATTCTGTATACTTCTTCCTTTTATGTCTATCTCCTTTTTAACCTTCTCAAATGCCCTCATTAGTCAAGGCATAAATACAATTTCGTCTTGCTTATGCAAATCTTCCTCCAACTCTTTCCCCCACCCTTATGTTTAATATTCCACCATTTGAGAATTTCTTCTTGCTTATGCACCCTTATGTTTAATATTCCACCATTTGAGCTTCTTCCAGTCACAGGCAACATCTCAACATTCTGGGGCTGCACATACCCCTTCTTGACCTTGGAAGACCACCCTCTTCTTTGCCACATCCTCCAATTTTTCTAACAAATAGAAAGGTTACTTACTTGCAACCATGGTTCTTCGAGTGGACCTCTGTGAATTCACACATATGGGTTTAGTCTGCGCCTGCGCTGACGTTCTTGGAGCATTCCAGAGCTAAAAGTAACAATTTTATGGGATGATCCCCCATGAGGCACATGCTCCTCCCACCCAAGATTCCCCTCAGTTTCTGCAATTTGTCCGCCGGGCACGAGAGTTATACAACAATAAGATACCCGTGACTGACAGAGGGGAGGATGGGCGGGTAGTGTGAATTCACAGAGGTCCACTCAAAGAACCATGGTTATAGGTAAGTAAACTTTCTTCTTCGTGGCCTCTGTGAATACACACATATGGGTGACTGGCAAGCTACTTATTGGCAGGTGGGACGTCACGGTAGGAAGGATGCCAACACATTTCTGCCAAATCCAGTGGTATTGTGTGTACCTACATGTAGCCAGTAGTGCCCTGCAAAGGTAGATGGCACAGATCATATTGCTGCACGGTAGATGTTGAGAGTATCGATTCTACTCTGGATGCAGGCGAGGTAGACAGCACTCCGTGGAGTGAGGCTAAAGCTGATTAGACGATGACTCGTCTGACTGATGGCAAGCCATAGATACAGTCTGGACCATCAATCTAGAGATGGATAGGACGAAAATGGACTTTCGAAATGAAAAGAATGGAAGCATAAAAAGAGCCTGTTGTCTGTTTAGAAGCTCTGGTAGTGTCCAGACAAATGCTGGTGAGCGTCTTACATAATTATTGTGGAGCATGTGCTCTAGAGGAGATGATGGTGATCTGAAGAATGATGGTAAGATGAAGCA